CCGTTGTCCGGGAAACCCACTGTTGCGTCACTCACCGCCCCGGGGCTGCGGCCCCGCCCGGTACAGCGCGAGCGCCCCGGGTGTCCCGGGGGCGCGCGGGGCGGCAGCCACGGGGCTGCCTGGGAAGCCTCAGCATCTGTGGTTTGCTGGCGGGCGTGCAGGCCCCTCAGCCAGCGCCGGCCTCCTACCGCGCCGTCCCAGCTGGGCAGCAAGCCGGAAGTCGGTAGCTCAGGGCTGTGAAAGAGGAGGATGCCCCTTCCTCCGGCTCCGGGCAGACACGGGCCGTTCGCTCCAGGCCTCTGCAGCCTCTTCCAGCCAAGGGTCTCCAGCCCCTCTTGGCCCCAGCACGTTGGCACATCTTGTCTCCATTGCACAGACGGAGAGACTGAGGCTCGGAGGAGCCGAGTGGGCGGCAGGTGTGAGCATCGAGGCCTCCTGACTCCCAGTCGCGCTCGCTTGAGGGGCCCGCGCGCCTCTGGGACCTAGGTATTATTACCCTAGAGTGCCGCACTCGAGGCCGCGTCCGCGGGTACGGAGCTGCGAGGAGAATTTGGATCTGGTTCATGTGCGTTTACACGCGAGGAGTCGCTCTGGCGAGCCCTGGGCCAGCACAGCGCCCAGCCCCCGGGTGTCCGGGCACAGAGGACCTGATGTCCTCCCGGCTTCGCTCACAGCAGCCAGCCAGATGCTGCTCTTCTCTCCCTCTTCCCCTTCCTTCGTGTCCGAGAAGCAGCGACGTTAAGCAAATGAGGCGAGTGTGGTGTTATACCCCAAAAGCCGCGAGGTGCGAGGTCACGGCCCATGCCATGCACAACCTGGCGCTCTTCCGCAGCTTTCCTGCTGCTCATCTCAACAGCCGCAAAACCGCGGTGCGGACATGAGCGTCAAGTGGCGTCATGGCCCAGCCCGGGAGGAGGGTTATGGATGATCCCCCTCCTTTCTCCGACAGGAGGACGTTGTCCATCAGGGCTACCAAGGCTGTCTCTGCTCCATGGCTGGGTCTGACCCCTGCGGCCTGGTTTGCAGGCGGTCCTTCACGACTTCCTTGCCTGCAAGGCCAGTCGGTGTTGTTCGGAGAACTGCCGTGCTCCAGAGCAAGGAGCACCATTTTCAGTGGGGGGGTTGATACAGCAGCGTTGCCATCGGATCGAGGGCAGCGATTCTTCCCCTCTATTCAGCAGTGGGAGGCCACATCTGGTGTACCATGTCCAGTTTTGGGTCCCCATGGCAGAAAGGATGTGGACAGGTGGGCGCTA